TCTGGCAGTGTTTTGAACTGTTATCCGTTGGTGATCCAATACGACATCTTTTTTTTTTTTTTTTTTTTTTAATCTGAAAGATTCTGAAGTGATTGAAATCTTTCCATGGCGAATATGAGAACCTACCTTCTTCCCCCAAATACAACGTACAATCATTATATCTGTGTTTGAGGCATCTTTCAGTCTGGATAAAGCTATAATGACCGTGGTAGTTGACGTCGATGGTCTGACTCAGAATGATTTTAGAATGCGCCTTTCTGCACAATGCAATTTCAAAATTTTGCAGTATTTTGAGATTTACGTAATCCAAGCCTAAGAAATGTAATAATATTATTACAAAGAAGATGACATGAACGTTAATATCATGGCGGCTATCAACTGCTTCACAGCACTTTCCCAACCCATACAAATGTTGAGGATCTCAACCGTTCCACGCACGCGCCTGTCTGATTTCTTCGTTCTCCATTGGACACCCCCAACTGGACTGTTAGCTCCATCACTATCAGTGTCTTCCATGCCACCATTTTCTTTCCACCGGAGGATCGGCATCCGATTTTCAAAAGGTACCTTCACATGCAACGTATCACAAACATAGCCTTCTGTAGGCATTTCAGAAACTGCACACAGATCAGAGTAGGCAGCGGAATACAGCTATGCACAGATGGGGAGAAGACACACAGTGTTTCTTTCTCTCTGACACACTCCCAACAACCAATCACAAGTAGAACCGGCGAGGATAACAATTCAAATTACACTGATGATGAGCCAACTCAAACAATTATCGTAACAGAGTTTGTTCCAGTATCTCGCCACTCTCAGAACTCACACCCCACTCTCTATCCTACACCCAGTTAGTAGCGCCACATCAGAATGGCCTCCCAGAGGCCAGCGCCAACCACCCTGATGAAGAACAGGTCCTGCGATGAAGTCTTCAGTGCCGATGGACAACTCTGAGGAAGGAACAGGCAGCTATGGCTGCCACCACCCACGAACACACACTGTGGAGCCTCGATGTAGCCCGGCCATACGCAGATACCCCAGGGGTAGATGCGCTGAGGATGCCCCAGCTATGGCAGGCTCAGACTGGGCCGGCTACGGCTGCTGTCAACGGCGAGTCTCAGGATGCCGCCTGCAGACCATCACCGCCACCAACTTGCTTCGCTTCTCCAACGCTGCTTCGCGAGAAATGAACTGCCCAAAAGTTGGTGGCGAAGCAGATGTTAACGCTATCATGGCGGCTATCAACTGCTTCACAGCACTTTCCCAACCCATACAAAAGCCGGTCATTCCGAGGTCACTACGAAGAAGATGACATGAGCGTTAATATCATGGCGGCTATCAACTGCTTCACAGCACTCTCCCCCTTCTCTTATGCATGTATGGGCGTGTATGAGATTGTCTGTGTGTGAGTGGCGGTAAAAATCGTCGGACAACCAAGTTCATAACAACTAGGCTAGGCATGCTACGTGATCTCCAGGTTTGGGTTGACCCTTGGGGGCGACATCAGGAGGGTGTGGTTTTCCGGAAGAGGGGCGTGTTTTTTCGAAAGTGGGGTGTTGTTTTTCGGAAAAGGGATAGGAATGCTATGAAAGCGGGATTTGAGATTTTAAAGGGGATGTCGTCGTTCCGAGAAGGGGTGGATTCAGGTAAAATGAAACAGGCTCTAGGAGAACCTTGGAAGGGGCTTCGAATCTCATCGAAGCAATAATACACTCCGGTGACTCCGCAGAGTTTAGGAAGACATCCCAAGTGGAAAAATAGCTATATCACCATCAGTAAACTGTTACACCCGCTCCGCTTTGCTTTCTTTCCCCCAATCATCTCTCAGATCCAACAATGGCACAACCCGCTGCAATTTCATTCATCATCTCCGGCTTGTGTTTCGAAAGAGGGAAATCACATTCTGCGTTCCCATGCATTACTAAAATTCTTAAAGTACCTTTGTCGAGGAACGCCATCCTGCACAAAGTTCCCCACCCCCTTGTAGCCCTCCTTGCCTTTCTGCACGAGTGTTTGGCCTGTATATGCTTTGCGTGCACAAGGTCATCCCCTACGTAAAAATGTTTCGCATGGTAAGAAAACGTGAACCTCGGAATGACCGGCTTGTGCTTTCGTAGCACAAGCATAGCAACAGTGGGAGCTCAGGACTAGGCCTCAGTGGAACAATGTTAAGGTCTACATTTTGAAACCCAGAGCGAGTGTCTTATTTTGGGACCCAGAGCAACACCTGTGTGTTTTGGCTGAACATGATTGTTGACAAAGTTAGACAAACAGATAATGAGCTCAAAGCCTGATGGATATACTAATGTTAGGGGACTAAAGAATGTCTAACATGCTGTGAAATGCAATGCATTGCCGTTTTTGTGCGTAGCAACCAGCTGAGCTAGATGGCATGCGGAACTCGCATATACGGGATGCAGTGGCACTTGTTCGATATTTTGCATGGCTTGATGAACAGGTAATTTTTTTCTTCAGCAGAGAGTTTTTTGACACTGTTTTTCTGATTGAACCTTGTTTCACACGAATGGTTAATACTACTTAATAGGTGGTGTCGTTTTCAGTGAAATTTTCACCGAAACTGCCATATTTCCCTGAGTTTTTGCTTCGTGTTTTTTTTTTTTTTGGTGTGTGTGTGTGTGTGTGTGTGTGTGAGAGATGTATGTGTGCTTTATGGTATATCTGTATTCACTCGATGTATTTGGACCAGTAACGAAAAAGTTGGCAGAAACACCGAATTCAGAGAATTTTTTGGCGAACTCCAAAAGCTACTCTGAATAGGGTCTTATAAATGTATTCATTGTAATGATTGTATAGTGCTCTGGATTTTTTATTTTTATTTTCGTGTTTTTTGGCCTGTTTGTTCTTTTGATGTTTGTATTATGAGCCTGCAGTGTTTGTTTGAAAAATTTCGATGACATTGCTTGTGGTGATGCGGCGAAAAACCCCGAATTTTTGGCCTTCCGTTAACCATCTCTGTTGTTGTTTCATTGAGAATGAATGGGGCAGTGGCGAAGCGTGTTGTAGGCAAGGGGTTGAGGGAAACAGAAGTTTGAATAGCCTTGTATCTGCGAAGAGGCGCGGGAACTGTGGTAGTCCCTCTTGAGTCTGCCGCATGTCTGGTCCCAGGTCAAGGACTGTTTGTTGTTTCAGTCTTTTTTTTTTTTTAACATGAAAATTTTGGACCATTTCTCGATTTATGCGTGTGTCATCCTTGCGCAGGGGCCATGCTTATCTTCATTCTCTGGATCGCTCCAATTTTAATGGATGTCCAAAATGACTTTTGTTGTTTTGGTCTAAAACTTGTGCTTTCAGGTTATGCATCTGCCTCTCAAGAAAGGGATGTGATTTGTTCTGCTGCTTCGAGTCTCTCGACTCTCTAGCTTGCATGTGTTGATATGAGTCAGCAAGTGCAGACTGTGAATGTGTTGATATGAGTCAGCAAGCTCGGACTATGTTTGCTTTGCAAGAGCAAAGGTCGCATGTGGTGATGACATCTGACAGCTGTAATGTGTGGTAGGACGGTTTTGTGTGGACACCAACAGACTCAAAAGAGATCACGTTCACCTCACACACCTTCTGCAGGAGTGGGTGTGTTTGAACCGGAGCCATGTAAATGCGTGTTTGTTGAGGTTGTGGATGTGTCCTCCCCTGTAAATGTGTGTATTATACGAGTGTGTAGGTGTGTGTGCCTTGTGTGTGTGCTTGATGGGCGTGTTGTGTGTCCAATGTGCATGTGTGTGCTTGTGTGCTCTTGCTCTCTTAACCTGCACTCACTTCCTTGTCCTTCCTACTACCGTCTACGGTCTTCCCCCGTACAGAACGCATATGTGCTGTAAACTAATAGGTTGCTTTCTATTTGAATACAACACGTTTGCGTTCTATTAGAAGAGCGCTTATTTTTTCTTATAACAACGCATTTGTTGGCCAAAGTCATGGCTCTGGTTCTGACACATTGTGGCCACCGTGCAGATGCAAGCGCGTTACGGAGTTGGAGGTTATTTCTCGGAGTCGCCGAAGGATATCTCAACCGCAACGGAGCCAGGGTACACGTGCATTTCTACTCCTTCGATGAAACTTCTCATTAGAGGAGGATTATGGGTTTACTGTTGGGAAAGATACTAGATAGTGTAGGGAACAGCATTCCACTCAAGGGGTCACCTCTAAATTTGTAATGGAACTGAAGACAGAAACTTAGAAAGCAAAACAGACAAATAAAATTTCAATCCATTGATATGCAACCCCCTTCTGGACCCCCTCTAAACCCCCCTATCCATACTGCCTATGGACCCTTTGAACCCTGCATGCTTTTCGCGAAATAAACACTTAGTTGTGTGGTGTATTTGACATGTGCAGCATGCATTTCTTAAAACCACCAGTACCTCGCACCTCGCCCAGGCAAACTCGAGAATCGAAAATGCGACCTTCTGGATTCTTGGGATGAACAATGCTACCAAACGAAAATGGTTGGCTGCACCACCCAAAATAAAACAAAAACGCCTCCGTGCCAGTAGTAGGCCCCGGTACTCCTGTCTTGGTGCACAAAAAGAGTTTTGGAGGTACTGCCGGTTTTAAGTGTCCGGATATCCAGATAAACGCCCCCGCGCCCCCCGCCCCCTTCCCGGATAATCTGGCCAGATTATATGACTGGATTCACTGTGATGCGGCACTGATGCCTACGCTAAGAGGCAATTCCCCTTCCCTTGCAAGTGGGTTTGACCCTCTTTTTGGTGGCTACAGCCTGATGGCTTTCTGGTGGTTTGTTTGTTTGCGTTTATTTTGAATGTTTGGGCCCTTTGGCGCCCACAGCTATTTTTTTATTTTTTCGCTTTGAAGTTTAAACTTTAAACCACCACTTCTTTTGTCATGTAATCGGGCCGCGGGCCTCCAAATTGAAAATGCAAATTTGGAGGCCGGGGGCCGTCGATGAAAAGTATCGACGGCCTTGTGGCAGCGGTTTTTTCGGATGAGGCTCAACTTGCGACTTCGCGGCACAGTGAGAAAGGGAGTGGTCCTTCAGTAATTTGGATTATTTGGACCATTTGGTCCATTTCTCTATTTATTTGTGTCATCCTTGCACATGGGCCATGCTGATCTTCTCTGTAATAGTCTGTATCGTTCCAATTTTAATGGATATACCGAAGGACACACCCCAGAAAGGTTTGCAGTACTTTATGCTTTTGCAGTCCAAAAAGGAAAACGAAAAGGGTCCAAAAAGGAAAAAGAAAAGGGATTGGATGATTTAGTGGTCCACACTGACCCCACAGGCAGGCCCTCGACACCAGTTGAGAATAGAAGGCGGCGGTGCTATCATCTCTCCAGGCCAAGTGTCTTTTGTGTTTTTTCCAACTTTTTTGCTTGTTTGGTTTCAAATGTCAATTTATTACGCTGGACAGCTTGTCCGACGCTGCAGATGATGATGACATGTGTGTGGTCCTCACTGCCGCATCTGCTCAGAATCTTTTTTTTTTTTGTTTATTTTTTGTTGGTTGGGTTTCAATGAAGTATATGCTAGACTATGCTGGGCCGTCGCGCGGGGGGGCACGACGCCTGCGCCAGTTGGGAAGAGCGGGGGTCGCCCAGGAGAAAAGCAGATGAGTCAAAAAAGAGGCAAGGATCCCCGCCTGCCCAAAAAAAAGATGCCTTCAGGCCAGGACTGCGCTTGGCCTTAGCATTCAGAATCCGGCCTTACCTTCCATTTGGGTGATTGGTCATCCAGGGGGCTTTTGGTGGTATAACCTGTGACTAGAAGGGTTGAAAACTTAAAAGGGTATATTTAAAACTTATGTTTTCTCATTTATTTTATCTTCAAATTAACAAGGAATTCCGAGGGGCCCCTCAGCCAAAAGTTGTTTCAGCTTGTTTGTATTGCAACTTTACAAGACATTTGTTTGAACTTTTTTCCGGATTTTTTATTTTTTTTTTCTATTTTCTATTTTCTTTTTTTTTTTTAAATATTATGCGCTGGGACTGTCCGGGATTTTCTATTACGTATGTTGGATCTGAGAGATGATTAGGGGAAAGAAAGCAAAGGGGGTGTATAACCGTGTAACTGCTTAATCCAGTTCCAGATGAAACCAAAGGTGTCGGGACAATTTCCGGACCTACCAATTCTTTTCTCTCTACATTTTAGACCGCAAGTACACCGGCCAGACAAACCTTAGAATCGAAAATGAGTCATTTCGAAAAGTTCGGATGATCAGGGTTACCCGGCTACCGGACCAAAATCGGTGGTGGTGCCAGCCAAAAGGGGAAAAAAAAAAAATTCACACTGGCGCTCCAGCAATGCTTGCTGCGTGCAAGGGGGAGTCTGCCTCAGCAAAAAAAGACTCGGATATACTGGTGGAGGTTTAAAGTGACGTGTTCGTTGATTTGGCACTGCACTACTTGCGTGTAGCTGCTGCAGGTCACTGAACCTGTCTCCTGTCTTGTTGGATCTTGCAAATCGAACCGACTGTTGAGCAACTTGAAGTCTTAAACTGTTCTACAAGAATAATAATATTTTCCTTTCCTGTATATTCACTCTACGACATCTACGTTGCCTTTCAGGTTTTTTTTTTTTTTTTTTTTTTAAGAAAAAAGTTAAAAAAACACGACCACGTTTTTATTCTTCCATTTCTCTCTGCCTAACTGTTGCGTGAACTGCGTGTTCCTGACAGACAGCCTGACGAGTTCACCGAAGTCACAGTTGCTGACAAGTTGGAGGAGTTTCGGAGTGAGCAGAAGGTGGGACGACAAATGCAATAGGTTTCCTTACGTCTTTTCCTTTCCTTGTTTTGCTTTTTTTCGCCTTCGCGCTCTGATTCACAGTGTGACAATATATTTGAATGCTGCTTGAGATTTGGATTTAAAAAACGCCGGTTCCTCCTTTTCCCAGCCCTTCTTACTAAGGCACAGCCTAATGGGCATAACAGCAATGCCGGCTGTCCGCACGATCTGCAGATGTTTTTGAAGGTGTGGTGGGAGGGGGAGGGCGAGGGGGGCAGGGGGAGGGC